GGGGATACACTCCCTCTTCTTAAACTCCTACCCAGTTACAAATGTCGCTCTTTCTCTTACATTTTCCAGATTAAGGATGCTCAGCTGCACAATGCACGATGTGTCCTGCAAATTGACAACACTAAGCTGGCCGTCGAGGACTTCAGACTGAAGTAGGTTCTCTCTTAGCTGGCAAGACTTTCTCCAAAGAGAATTCTTTATGCTAATCCTTTATGACACTCGGTTTTCCATGTTATTATTGGTGAGGAATTACCACGAAATATTTTGGGATTCTTAAAGCTGAATGGATGTTAGAAGGCATGAGGTCTAGCCCAGCACTCAGGGACGGACTTCTATAATTACAACAATTTTAAAATTTCTCTTTAAGTATATTCTAGAATTTAGAAACTTTTAAACTTATTTCAGACTGCCTTTTACCAGTCACTCCAAATCACATAATCAGAGATTATGTTATGAAACAAATTATCTGACTCCTAAATTCTTATGCATATTTCAAGAAGGCACAAAGGGAGGCATTATGAAGTATTAAAATATCTCTCCATGTGCCACATAAAACTATTTCACATTATATTAGATTATCTCTTGTATAATCTCTTCAGAAGGACTCACTTATCTCCCCATCCTAATTACTTCGCAGGTATGAGACTGAGAGGGCCATGCACCTGACCCTGAAAGTCGACCTCCAAAGCCTGAGTAAGGTCTTTGATGATCTAACCCTACACAAGACAGACTTGGAACTTCAAATTGAGGAACTGAATAGAGACCTGGCTGTCCTCAAAAAAGAGCACAAGGAGGTGAGAAAATGTTCAGAAGTGGCATTGGGACAGATGGAATGGCTCTCATAAGAATGAGAAAGAGGAAGGACAGGAGGAGGCAGAGTGGGTAGTGACAGCAATGATGACAATGACAGCAGTAATGATGTAAGCCCTAACTTCTTTTCATAAAGTGGCTTCAGGTGAAATAAATGACTGAGAGCGGGACTTGGACCACAATAAGCCCTACACAGGGTGTTGTTTTCTTTCGGTTTTACTCGCTCCCAGTGAAGGACCCATAAATCATTTGCTATCCTTTCTGCCCAGCCTTATCTAGGAATATGCTTCAGACTAAACTCAATCAGGATTTCCACTCTTGTAGGAAGTGGATGGCCTGCAGAGGCATCTGGGCAATACCGTCAACGTAGAGGTGGACGTTGCTCCGGGCCTGAACCTCAGTGCCATCATCAATGAAATGAGGCAGAAATATGAAGTCATGGCCCAGGAGTACATTCAGAAGGCCAAAGAACAGTTTGAGATGCAGGTAAGAGCATACGTAATTCTAAGGTGCGAGCAAATATAGAGAAGCTGTCCTCTAGAAAGCGAGAATTTGTTTTCTTCCTTCCTGCCTCCCTTCTTCCCATCCTCCCTCCCCTCCTCCCTTCCTTAATTGCTCATTCACTTTTTTGCTTTCATTCTTGGAACTTTAGATTGAAGATCTGCAACAAGAGGTCACAGTGAGCACAGAAGAGTTAAAAGAAACTGAGGCTCAACTGAAGAAGCTGAGGAACACCTCCCAGAGCCTGGAGATAGAGCTCCAGTCCTGCTACAGTGTGGTAAATGCATCGAACTTCCATGTCTCCGTCTGTGCAGTCTGTGCTCTCGTGCAGTCTGTGTTAAGAACTCTACAGATGCAAAGCCCAATAAGAAATAACCTTTCCCCTTGCAGAGCCGGCAGGGAAACTGCTCAAGCAACTGAGTATAATTAAAGGACAGAGAAATGGAGGAGAGGGCAATGCACCCCACAAATGCAGAGGAAGGACAGATCTGGGAGACTCCAGAGAGAAGGTGGTCTTTACACTAGGTCTTAAAAGTTGAGCTGAGTTTTTAAGCTGAAGAATAGGAGTAGAGCTATTCCAGGCCGAGCTAATCAGCCAGCCCATGTTAAGTTGTGCTGTGGTGACCAGCAATCCTTAAGCCACAGTGGCCTACAGCAACTCAACATCCACTGTGGGTCAGCTGCTCCCTCACATTTCCTCTCCTGGGGCGAGGCTAAAGGAGTAAATCCCATCTGGGACATGTCAGTGTTGTGGCAGCAGGAAAATACAATAGCCGAGCCACATGGTAGCTCTCAAAGCTTCTCTTCAGAAAGGCATTTGTCATGTTCACCTGCATTTCATTAGCCAGAGAGAGTCATGGGCCCCAGCCTAGGGTGAGTGGCTTGAGGAGGTCTAGTCCTCCACTGCAGAGACACCACAAGTCAATCACACAGCCAGGCCTGCTGAAGAAGTTGGAGGCAGGACCTCCTCATAAGATGGGGAGGCAAATACCAAGAACGGTAACGTGCCACATTGAGAGAACAGTGGGTTCAGAGCTAAAGACAAAGAAAACCCCCCAGACCTGGTGATCCCAGCTGGCTGAGGTTGCCTCATGGGAAAAGTAGGAGATGGAGCTAGAAATACGTTTGATGTCCACAGAGACTGCCTACAGAAACCATTCTTAAAGCAATTAAAATGGGACCTCTTAAATCAATTCCTTAAATAAGAAACTCCCTCTTTTTCTTGTGGTCATAGAAAACATCTTTGGAACACACACTAGAGGAGACCAACGTTGCTTACAGCGGCCAGTTGGCCAACCTCCAGGCCAGGCTGAACGCTGTAGAGGATGAACTGATGCAGGTTCGGGGAGACGCAGAACGCCAGAAGGCTGAATACCTTACTCTTCTTGACGTAAAGATCAGGCTTGAGCAGGAGATTGCTACTTACCGCCGCCTTCTGGAAGGAGAAGATGTCAAGTAAGGTTCTTAGCATTAAGGGATACGATGTAGGTGCCAATATCTATGTATGCTCCCCTCTGTCAAGGTCCTGTCACTTGTTACCCAGCACCAACACAAGCCACTAGCACAAAAGTAATTACACACACACATACACACGCTACCATCACTACCATACATTCCCAAAACATGAAGCACAGCCTTGAGGTCGTGTGGCAGGACTGAGTTAGAAGACGGCTACCTAAATGATACAGGTTATGCGAATGTTAATTTTTATGATTAATGTGTAATTGAAAGCACAGCTTTTTGGAAACTGTCACTGAGAGTTCATGAATTAAATAAAGGCCACGGAGCTCTGCGGCAGCCAGTTTGAGAACCAGCAGTGCGGCAATAGCAGCCGTTCTCAGATACCACCCCCAAGAATGTCGGCAAGATAAGATTCAAACGTCCATGATTTTAATAACAAAAACTTCTAGCACCTGTGAAACAGCCTGCTTTGAGGCTCTATATGTTTCGAGTTAAAAAAGTAAGGCACTCAATTGTGCAATGGCGTCATAAAAGGGAAAGAAAAAGAAAACAGTATTAAAACATAAAAAGACTTTGCTTTGAAACATAAAGGGCAGAAAAGCATTTCATGTTCCAAATGGCAATAACATATTTTTCTGTTTTTCTTCTTTTCTTAAAAAAAAGAAAAAACAGAATGACAGAATATCAGTTGAACACCCTGGAAGAGAAAGGTGAGTTTCTCAATCTTTGCACATTTTCTGTAACATTCAGCAGCTTTCCACTAACCATCCGCCATTGGTGAAAAGTCAAGGGAGGCTTCTTAGTTTGTTTTCTGCTACTGCAGCAGAATACCTGAGACTGGGCAATTTATAAACAGTGGGAGTTTGTTTGGCTTGCGATTCTGGAGGCTGGGAAGTCCAGCATCATTACGGTGCTGGCATCTGGCAAGGGCTGTCTTGCTATGTCATCCCAGAGAGTATATGGGAGAGCCAGAGAACAAGAGGGGGCTGAACTTGCTTTTATAATAAGGCTGCCCTCATAATTATTAACCAACTCCTATGATAACATTAATTCATGTTATGGATCGAGGGTTCTGCCCATGATCATGACCTAAGTCACCTCTAATTAGGCCCCACCTCCCAACACTGTTGCATCAGAGATTAAGTTTCCAATGCATGAATTTTGTGGGGGGGGGGGTTACCATAGCAGAGGCCAATTCCAAAAGTGAGCAGACAGGCCACCAAGGATTTTAAAAATCTAATACATGGCATTAAAAAAAAACCCTCTATAAGAGAATTTTGACACTCTCTTTAAAAAAGTGATTTTCTTGGCCCGTGCTGTTGCTATCTTGAGACATCCTGACACCCTGAAAAGGAAAAATAAGACTAAACTATGAGTTTTTCTTAACTCAAGATTGCAGACTTCTGTTGAGGGGTGGGAAAAGTGTAGGTGATTTGTACATTTGGGGAGAGTGCTACCTTTTCCATATGTATTTATAAAATGGACTGAAGATTATTTCAGAAAGAAATGGGTTCAACTTTTCTTTTTAAAGAAGGGAATACATCCCAAATACTAATGTAAAGTTGAGTCGTAGAAATCAGCAGAGTCAGGAGCCTGAGTTAACATGTGACGTTTAATGTGAATTCAGATGTAAAGAAAACCAGGAAGATCAAGACCCTCGTGCAAGTCCAAGAAGTCGTGGACGGCAAGGTTGTGTCATCTACAGTCAAAGAAATCAAAGAGATGGAAGAAAACATATAAAGACACACCAGAAGGTGATGCTGCTGAGGTTAGGAAAGAAGCGTGGCCATAATTTTTGAACACTGTAAGAAAGCAGCCATCAGAAGGCACTGTTAATACTTTGACGTGATTAGAAGGGGTCAAGCCTATTTATCAGACTCTGTAATGGAATATAAATGTTGTACTCCAGGAGATGAAAATCGCCTGCAAAAATGAAATACGCCAAGCGCTAGACTATTTAAAACATCATTACTCTCATCTTTGTCACGAAGCGTATTCATTACAAGCTATAGACCACCTAGTATCAATTTGTAGGTAATGTTCCTGAAAACAGCAGCGCGTGTCAATTACCCTAAACCCCACATAGCAGAGGAGTCTGTGCAAATAGCAAAGAAACCTCTGGCTATTCATTTCTCCTGAATTGCAAAACTCCTTCTTGGGAGCCCCTGGATTCTTAATCGAGCCAACGTCGTGGTTAATCTCATCGAATGTCCCGTATTAGTGTGATTCTGTTGTCTTTGAGCTATATCTGCTTTTCTCTGTTGTCCCTTGTCCCTACTACCTTATTAAAACTCACCTCAGCTCTGAATAATTTGAGAGTCAAATCCCGATCACAAATGCTGAGCAGAATAAGAATGAAGTAAGCTCTGCTCGAAATGGGAGGAGATTGAAAAGAAAATTCGAGAAACCCCTTTGGAGGCAGAACGTGTCTCCTTTTGATGATAGACAACTGGTATAAACCATCACTTTCTTTATGTGGTAAACTTCTCTGATGAAACATCTCTTGCCATTTGTTAATAACAACTTTATTGAGAGGGAATTCATACGCCCTGCCACGCACCCTTACAGTGTGTACAAATTCAGAGGTCTTCCGTATGTTTACAAAGTTGTGCAACCCTCACCATTCTCTAATTTTAGAATATTCCGTCATCCCAAAGAGAAACTTTCTAACAATCAGCAGTCACTCCCATTCTCCCTCCCCTCGGTCCCTGACAAGCCCTAATCGACTTCCTCTGTATGCATTTGCCTGTTCCGGACATTTCATACAAATGGAGTCATTACCATATGCTGTCTTGCCCACAAATATTCACAGCAGCATTATTTAGAATAATCCCCAAAGTAGAAACAGCCCGAATCCCCAACAACTGACAATGAATGAACAACATGTAATATAGCCATACGATAGAATATTATTTGATGATAACAAGAAATGAAGTACTGAGCTGTGCTACCACACAGATGAACCTCAGAATCACCCTAAGTGAAAGAAGCCAGATACGGAGAAACACACATTGTAGCCTTACCTTTTCTGCATCTCCATGTACAAGAACTGCATGCAAATGTTTACGGCAAAAACAAATTTGCCCTATAGCGTGGTGTTCTAGAAAATACAATGATACAATCGATAGTTGGACTTAACATTCGATACAGAAGTTACAGGATTTTGAGTTGGTTTATTATGTAGAAAACAATTATGTGATTCACTTAAGAATAACAGTATCATCCATTTATTGAGCGCCTACTATAAGCAAGTATTCCAAGCACCCGGCATATTTCTTATTGAATTCTTACAATTCTATCCTATCAGGTAGAAGCGACTCGGTTGAATCACGTGACCTTACCAACATACGGTAATTTCAGACCTTCAAAAATAGCATTTTCATGTGGTTCAAACCTTTTTACAGATGAGAACCCCATTTTACAGATGAGGATAAATGAAGATGATGTATAAAGAGATGAGATTGGTACTTTCCCAAAGCCATATAATTACCAAGTAGTAGAGTGAGACTGAACTTGGGGCTATTCGTCTAAAGCAGGGGTCCAACCTTTTTATTTCTCTGCTGCATATTGGAAGAATAAGAGTTGTCTTGGGTCACACATTAAATAATACACAAACACTAATGAAAGCTTATTAGCAAAATAAATAAATAAACAAAAGGCGTGTGCCTACTTTTTGCGATATCCAACCCCAGAGATAAACAAAAAAAGGCGTCACAAAAGCAGCCTGCAGCCCGCAGCCACCAAAGTTAGACACCCCCAAAACTAACACCTGCTGATGCAACTAATTACACAACAAAACAGCGCATAGGTTGCTACCAAAGTTCTGAGACAACCTGTTTTGATCCATTATTTCACTTTCGATAAACACAGTGGACAGCGTCCTTTCTGGCCCTCATGCAAGTTTCAACTTGGCTCCACTTCCCAGTGTTGCTGGGGGAGGGGGCTCCCTTTGTTTCCGCCCACGTGGAGTTTACACTTCTTGATTTTTGTGTATCTCAAAATGTTCATAATGGCCCACACGTATGTATGCGATTCACACTTGACATAGGCACGTGCCTTGGTTGTCTGTTATTTTCTAATTGTCATTTTCATTAGTCAGATACCGCAGCCAATTGTGGCAGACGCCCAGGTTTGTTAGCTAATAGCACGCGCAACTTGATCCGGCACAACTTTTGTCAGAAGAGGTATTTTCACCCATTTCCTTGGCTTTGCTTTTCAAAGAAGAGAAGACGTTTTGCACTTATTTTTCTTTCTTAATTTCCTTTCAGTGCCATGCCAGCGAGTAAATTGCTTCTAAAAATGTTTAGAAGTGAATGCTTTTTCACTTAGCAAGACACATTTCAGAACGGTCTGAAGCACTGACATCCAACTACCAGAGACTGTAAATCTGACTAGGAAGAAATCTGAGCTGACCGGGTTGGAGTTGATTAGGCATGACCCTTGTCATGTGACAACACTGATGGCTTGTTAAAAGCAGTAGGGTTGTGATTCCTGACTCAGTTTCACATCCAAAAAAAATGGAGTTTTCTTCCTCCCATGGCTATAGTTTCCTCCAAGTAGTTTTTTTTAAGAAAGTAGGTGAAACCATACGTACAAGCAGAAGCAGATGGTGGGGTTCTCCTTCCAGTTCCGCCAGTGGTTAGTTGCTGTGTGAGAGTGAAACATTCACCTTCTATCTATCTGCATGTCGTATATGAGCTAAGAAGCCGAACAGCACGATCCTATTCCGCCAGGTATATACAGATCCTGAGAAGACTTGTAGTCCTCAGAGATGGGGGAAAGAAATCCTTATGACCCTGGCAAAAGTAGCGCCTTTCTGAGAAAGAGCTGGTGAAAGAAAGCAGGTCAGCAACCAAACTGCGTGATCACTGCAAACCCCTCCCAGCCCCCTGAAATGCTTCAAGGTCAATGTTCCTAGGGAACAACATGACAGTGACTTTCCATCCCAGCTGGCCGCCAAGAAAGTAATTATTCACCCTTAGTGCAAAAATCAGGCCCTCTACAGAGGAGGGGACTCCCTCTAGCAACTCCTTCCCACTTTCCAACCCTACTACTACTAATAAAAGCCTCTTGAAACCTTTTAAAGCGAGCTGGCTCCTGGTCAGACTCCACTCTGCTTTTTCTCTTTCTCTGCTACATAAAGACTTGCCAATCCCCGGACTGGCCTCCTCACCTTCTTACAGACCCTTCCCCTCACTCTACCCTATTCCCCTCAAGATACAGACAGGTCTCTGTATCATACATTAGAATCATCATTGATACATTTCATCGCTTTACAGGAAACCATCAGTGCAGAAGTGAAGCTACATGTATCAAACTCAGAGAGAAGGTGTGGTTAAGATTGAGAGAACTATTATTTCTATGCTCCAGAGACAATTTCTACCCAGACAAATAGTATAGAATATCAAAAAAGAAAAAGACATGTTGGACAACGGCCAGTGAGCTTCCCTGGACGCCCTCTGTTCTCAGCCTCCCTCACTCGGGGTCAGTCTCAGGCACCTGATTGCACTCCCAATAACAACTTCAACTTAAGTCTCAACTACTCAGGAGGCTGAGGAAAGAGGAATGCCTGAGCCTAGGAGTTCAAGGTTACAGTGAGCTATGGTGACACCACCACAGTGAGACCCTGTCTGTAGGGGGAAAAATAAAATCCATCCTAAAACATTGGTTTGTGATTTCTATTTTTGATTTTCCCTTCAAATATTGTGTTTTTCTCTCCCCTAGGTGCACTTCTAAGATTCCCCTTACCAGGGTATTATTTTATCTTCTTCCTCTCTCCAACCACTTATCACCTCCCAAATCCCCCCACGAACCCCACTTTTGAGAACCATCAAGCTCAGAAGTCCAGAAGTCAGCCTTCCTCTTGCCTCCTTGGGGATCCTTATTTAACCCTCATCTCAAAGGTACAATCTATACAATGTAGGCGACCCAACATTATCTCACTCTTGGGATCTTAAAATCTTATCCAAAGCCAAAGATGCCAGCACTGAGCCATCAGGGAATGGCAGAAAACCCCAGGGCTATCTTGAAGGGAGAGAACCCGGGTGGGAAACACTGCAGTCACAGACCAAGAAACTGGCCAA